AAAAAAAGAAAAAGAAAGAGAGAGAGGGGGGGTTGTGTCTGGGCAGCCACGGGAGGAAAAAAGAAGGAGAAAAAAGAAAAAGAAAAGAAAGAAAAAAATAAATAGGAAAAATAAATAAATAAAAATACATTAAAATTAAGTGTATTTTTAAAAACTTTTGAGGTGAAAATTGAAAAACTGAAAGTAATTTATAACTCCTTAAAATAACTCGAAAACTTAATCTTTAATCACAAGATTAATCAGAAAAAATCAATTTTAGGCACACTAATATACACAATTAACATAATTAAACATATTTAATTCTAGAGAGCGTTACATTTATAATCCTCTCATGATCGCAAATGGGTGTTTTAGTAATTTGGCAACAAAGTGGGCTCTAGAATCTGCTTTTTTCGGTTTACGTTAGGCCTAGCCAATCTCTACATCTTTGTTGGATGCCCTACCATGTAATCTTCTCTGAAGACGTTGCGTGTTTTGTCCATGTTGACACTGAGACCAACAAATCAGGTACTTATACATGTACATCTTCGACACGTCGTACTCGCTGACTCTATTGGGCCCCAATAAGCTTTAACCATTAAATACTATTATTTCCCATATTGGATTAAATTAAGGTAAATTCTATCTCTAGTTCTTCCCCTAAGACGGAAGTGGCATCTAGCTGCTAAACTGCCCCACGGAGGCAAATCTCTATACTTAATTTCCCTAAATACATAAAATACCCTATGTATTTTGTCAACATATCACTTTCCCCCCTTTTATTATGTAAATACCTAAAACATCCCATATGCTTATAAAAGGGGACCCAAAACACCCCTGAAGTAGTTAAATTTTTTAAAATGCCATGATTATCCTTTCCAATTTATATTAAATGTTATTTTAGATATGATTTAACTAAAAAGTTAAATAAAACTATTTTAAAAATTGCTCAAATAAATATTCAAATAAAAAATACTTTAATTATTTTAAGAGTTTTTCATTTTTAAGGTTGGTTTTATTGGACATTTTGATTCAATAATGTTTTAAACTGTATTTAATAAAGATTGGGAATGATAAACTTGGTATTTAAAAAAATTTAATTGTTTGGGTTTATTTTTTATAAATATAAGAGATGTTTTGAGTATTTGCATAACAATAAGTGCCAAAGTGGTATTTTAACAAAACACAAGAGATATTTTAAGAATTATTCCATCTTATTAAATAAAGTTCCATTGATCAAAAACTTAAAATGAAAAAGATAAAATCATTTTGTTTAGGGCCTTTTCTCTCCAACTGCCAATCGGCTACCCACTTTAACTAGGTCCAGCACAATGTAGTTGCAAGCTGTCTATTGTACATTACTTAGGCACAGTTCATTTTAGCGATTCGAATTTTTAATTTTATATTTTTACAGTTTAAAATTCTCAAAAAATGTCATATTTAATTTTTTTTACTACAGTTAAAAATTCTCAAAAAATGTTATATCTCAATTCAAATCCGCGAAACAAACGTGGCATAATTTTCTTTCTACCAGAAAAACATCACTTATTTTCTGAAGCAGGCCCAAATAAGTAAGATGTAATTTAATGAAAAAGTATAGCAACTGGAATGCAGATAAAAGAAAAAAAGAAAAAAAAAACATTAAATTTGATGACCGAAAAAAAAACACTAAATAGAAATATTTAGTCTTAATATGTACAGCTGACTGGTTTAGTTCACTGGCATAGGTGGCAAGACATACGTGAATGATTTATACAATACATAGTGTTCATTGCATCTGCAGCTTCAGTTTGAAGAAGGGAAAGACGTTACTCTTCTGATTTCTCTTTATTTTCTCGGAAAAGTCAAAGAGAAAATGCATTAACTACTTAGCAAACTACAAAGAAAGACCATGGACCACCAAAAAAATATCATCGTCAGTGTCTTTAATTCTGTATTTCCATGTAATTGGTTCTCCTGAGATGCTGATTTGAAGATGTATAACCCACTAATTTCTATGTAGATTTCTTTGATATTGGCCCAATAATGGAATGTAAGAAGACTATTAGAAGAAGAAATAAGATCACCCACGTCACTAAATAACCTATAGGAGACCTCCAAATAGTGCCAATTATACACACTCAAGTTTCCTTAAAATTATAACCAAACAAGTATTCAAAGCGTGTGTGTATTATACATGTGTGTTTGTTGGGTGGGAAAGAAAGAAAATAAGAGGAAAAATATGTGCTACCTAAGTTTAAAAAAAAAAAATGAAGAGTTTAGAGGTACTTTTTTTTTTTTTTTTTTTTTACCGTGTTTAGTATGGATTCCCAAAATTGCTTAAATTGAGGTTGTTTGGGTTCGTTTGGTTGGTAAATTTATATCGTGATTTGAATCATAATTTATAATTCGTTACAGTATTTTTTTTTACAAATAACATACATAAATCGAGAATAATTCTAAATATGAACTAAATGATTTTAAATCCTTCACCCAATCAATAAATGAACTATTAATAATTTTTTATTTTAACATCTATATTAGAACTGATTGCTACATACTTTTTTTAATATCATGCGATTCTAACTTAATTCAACTTAATTCAACAGTCAATTCTGACGCTACTACCAGTAGAATTTATTTACAGAAAAACTTTTTTTTTTTTTTTTCAATCACACCAAACAACCACAAATCTGGAAATCCTTCTACTAATCCTCTTACTCTTATCCCTCCTATTAGACAAGCCCTTAAGCATAACTTGGCTGTAAACTAAGCTCAAGGATAAAAAGAACCAGAGGAGTGGATGCATATAAATACATCAAAACTCAAATTTAAAAAATATGTACAATAAAATTTTGTTGGTCTCCAAGAGCCATCAAACAAGTCAAGATTCTAAACTCACACATGATATACACATATATGGGTATATAAACACTATGGCCAGCCGATGCATTCTTCTGAAAACCTCTACACATTAGCTGTACATTGATTGAGTTTTTTTTTTTTTTTTTTTTCTTTTCCCCCCTTGACTTGACATTTGCTTGTAAAAACTAAACTAGATGCTCTCACCAAAAGCAGGAAATCTCTTCTTCAGGCAACAAAGGAGTCCTGCAAAGAGGGCATGTGATGTTCCAATAGTCCAACCACTTCTCCAAGCACACTTTGTGAAAGAGATGGCCACAAGCCAAGTGGTTTATCTCTGATTCGGGCTTGAATTGGCTCAGACAAACCGAGCATTCGTGTTCCCGGTCCTCCTCGCAGCCACACATGGCATCGAAACGCATTGCAGGGGTTCGGCTGCGGAACTCCTCAATGTACGTGTAAGACGGATCGTGACAGAATTCGAGTGAGCGGTTGCTTTCGGTGTCATCTTCTGATGATGGCGGAGATGAAGGCGATGAAGATGCCGACGACGATGGGAGGCGGATACCTACTATGTGAAGGATGGTTCGGACAATGCCTTTGAAAAGGGAGAAGGAAAGTGCTGTGTTTACTAAAAGTACACATAGAACTCCTTCAGATGGAGCTGGGAGACTAGAGAGACCCATGTTGATAAAAAAAACACAGGAGTTTTGGGACAAAACAGATTTGTGGATATCTATAACCCCAAATGTTGATCAAAAACAGTTAGGGCTAATAATGTTGTAAGTGCTTTTAGTATCAAGTTGATATATCTTGTGACCTGAAAAAACAACAAAACAACAAAAGGATTTGATTAGAAAAAGCAAAGGACCAATCACAAAAAAAAAAAAAAAAAAAAAAAAAGGGAAAGAAAAGTCAGGACCAAGTAAACAAATTTTTAGACATAAGACAGGCAAAAAGGAAAAGGCAAAAGGAAAAGGCAAAAAGATTTAGTTGAGGGCTTGAACTTCCATGTGATCACAAGCAGAGAGGGTGAAAAAAAGGTTGAAAAGAAAGAAAAAGGTCTTCTTTTTTCCCACCAATCCCTCTAGTTTCACTTTCTTCTTTAAGAACCTGTCTCCTAAGGAGGAAATGGGAGAGAGCTATATATGTAGGCCTATATATTACAACTTTAAAAGGTCAAAACTGACGGGCAGTATTCTGAATTCAAAATTATAATTTATTATTTTAATTTTTAAAGTTTATATTTTTTATATAAAAAAAATACTATAAAAAAATAAAAACCTTTAAAATAAACATCCCATAAAACTAACATGTACAAACAAACTGCAAAGGATCCAAAACCCAATAATGATATATAATAGTAATTATAAAGAATACCCACAAGTTACATTTTAATTTCACTACATATTTCAGAAGTTAGAGAAGATCAATGCTAAAATTAAAGGGAAAATTCTATCAAAAAAAATTAAAAGGAAATGAGAAAGAGAACATCATCAAGATCTAGCATAAATGATCAAATGAGCCAGAACAGAATTTCAAAATTCAAACCATATAAACATATCAAAGATAATTTAAAGAAAAAAAAAAAAAGAGCTAAACCGGAAAATGGAAACAAAATTTCTCAACCAACCAAAAAAAAGAAAAAATTACCCATCAACAAAATGGCATCAATAAACCCAGATGAGATCCATCACTGTCCTTAGCAATCCCCAAAAACCCATAAACAAAAATCACTTATAGCAAGAAACCAAAGAGCAATCTTGTATGTTAGGGGCTTAGAAAGAGAGGGAGAAACTTACAACAAAGCGAGCTTGGCTATGGAGTTTTGTTTGTTTTAAAGGTTTTCATTGTACAACGGACAAGAGTATTAGATATATGTATGTGTATATAGAAACATGTACATATATCTATCATGGAAAAAGACGAGATTCACAAGAGTCTCATGGGGTATATATACATATATGTGTTTGGTTTTGATATGGCTGCTATGCTCACATCTCTTTGTCTGTGTCCGTGCCCGTGATTCTTATATAGCGAAACTATAAGGACAAGGATATCGGCAACTAAAGAATTAACCACAGTTAGTCACTGTTTTCTGACCATGGTTTGCCCTCCGCCAATTGCGGGCTCCATCACTTGCCTAACCCATGCTCTTTACTTTATATCATGTTTTCTTTTTTTCTTTTTCAGTTATCCCTTTTTTTGTAAATATATGAGAAAATTACAAATGAGGCAATTTTTAACCATTAAATCTTTCATAAAATTCTGATAAATTATTGTATTTTATTTACTTTAATACAATTTTTGATTTGATCTTGGGATAAAGAGTTGTATTTGAATTTATTTCGACTTAGGTGCAGAGACCAATAGTATTTTCTCATATCCTATTAACTTTTTTTTTTTTACTTCAGTTTTGGTTAAAAACACTGATATCGATTGTATTTGTATTACTTGTATAATAATATTAGTTGAGCCACCGCTATACAAACGGAGAATAATTTTATAAGTGTGTTCCCGCATCAAAACACATAGTGTCTTTAAAAATAAATAGCATTAATTAGAACAAGAGAAAAAATATTCTAAAAATCATATCGAAAAAGATTTAAATTTATACAAGAGCTTTTGACAAAAAAAAAAATAAGTATGAAGACATTTGAAATGAATAATTTAATTAAAAAGAAGTGAGGAAAAGAAAGTATTTCAAAAAAGGATATTGTGAAAAAAATGTAACGGTTAAAGAATGTTAGAGGAAAAATAAAAAAAAAAAGGTCAATAAGCAAAAGAAAAGAAGAAAAAAAAAAGAAAAAAGAAAAAAGAAAAAAGAAAAAAAAAAGAAAAAAAGTTAAAAAAATTAAAGTTATATAGGAGTTTTTGAGTAAAAAAAAGTAGAGACATATTCAAAATGAATTATTTTAATTAAAAGAAAGTAAACAAAAAATATTTTAAAAAAAGATATTGTAAAAAAAAGAAGAAGAATTGTCAAAGAATATTAAGCAAATATAAAAAGGACAATAGGCAAAAGAAAAGAAGAAAAAATAAAAATAAAAAGTTTAAAAAGAAAAGAGAAAAAAAAAGAATGAGACCATGTGACCTCCTTAGAAACCAGTCGATTTGGCTCTAGATGTTAGATCAAATGTATAGATAAACGTTAACAGTCTGTTTGGTTAGAGGATTCGTTCTCTAATTCGAATCATGGTTCATGATTCACTACAGTATTTTTTCTCACAAAAAATACACGTAAATCAAAAATAATTTTAATTCATGAACTAAACGGGCTCAAAGATTAAACTATAAAATAACTCTTGACAAAAAAAGCATAAAAAACAAAATAAGATTTGAAAAGAACAAAGCACACGGAAAAAAAATAAACTGTAAAAAAACATTCATAAAATAAAAATAAAATAATAAAGCATTTAAAAAATAAAATAATAATAAAAAATAGAAAGAAAAAAGGTGGGGGAGGGCGTAGAAGGGAGAGGTTACCGCATGACGGTTTGGAAAGTGCTACGTGGGAACATTGAAAAAAAAGTACAAAGATAATTTTTGATATAACAAAAATTACATGGAATACAATTAAGCATGGACACATTTAAAAAATATATATTTTAACCATTGACATAAAAAAATTAAATGAAAACACATGCAAAAAACAAAAAAAATATTTTTATAAGAGTAAAGTGAGCAAAATTTATTTTTAAAAATTTCAAGTAGAAAATTAAACTGTAAAAAAATTAACAAAACAAAAAAGAATAAAAAAGAATGTGGAAAAAAGATTAATGGTTCAACTCCGTAAAATTATATCAATTACTTTAATTTATTCTAAGATTAGGTTAAAAAAATACTACAATATTCTTTTATTCTAATTGTACTTTTGTGCTTTGCATTGTTCCACATCAGAAACTTATGGGGAAAAAAATAGCACGTTAGATGACAAGATAAAAATATTCTAAACATTTAAAAATGTTGGTAAGCAAGTTTAATCTTCACGAAAAATTCTCAAAAGGAGAAAAGACAAAGTAATTTCACTTATTATTAATATATCTCTAACTGAATTAACTTGAGAAAAAATAAAATAAAATAATAAAAATTGTAACGGGTGTACTGAAAGCGATTCTTATAATAGAATCACTCTTAATGGAGTTATTATGCGGAAATGTTAATGTGAGACAATCTACTTAACTCATTTTTATAGTTTACACATTTTTGTATTATCTCTTCTGTATTCATGTTACTGCCGTATTTATTATACTGCACTTCTTAATGAAAAAGCACTCTAATCAAATAGACATTAAATTAGTAAAACTAATTTATGATTATTTTGAATGAAGCCTAGTTTTAATATCACTTTCTATTTGGAAACATCGTTTTATTGAAAGGACCTCCCGATATTTTATTTTATTTTATTGATTTTGTCCTTCAATCTTGTCAAGTTTTTGGGATATCTTAAATCATTCCAGCTTGGCCTTTCTCTAGTCATTATTCCCTCTCAAGTCTCAAACCTTTCTTTTTATCTTCCTTCACTTGAGCTTGTCCATATTTGTCCTCATGTATTTAAGGCTCCTTAGTACCAAACAGAGGGTATGACAAAGAAATATGGGACCCACTTTGTCATGGTGTAATATGGCACCATCAAACCTTAGGGCCGACATAGCCACTTTGTCATTTTCTTTTTTCTCCATCTCATTTATATATATATTTCAATTTTTTTACACGTGTTATGCCATAGTGCATGCACGTATACAAAGATATTACAAATTTATACATACAAAATAATCATATATTCATATAACATATATATATATATATATATAATTTTGTGTGTTTGTGTTTGCATATTTTTGCAGTCTACCTCTTTGATGTAATGTCACGATGAATAATCATATACGGAAAAGGTGATAAAATTATAAAAATGCCCTCTTATCGCAATCCACAGATTGCCAACGTGTCGGCCTCTAAATGGGGAGTTGGCAAAATGACATAGGGGAGGGCCCACACAGCATCCCAACTCACCATGATCATTGTGCAGGTGGCAGACGCCTGCAAATTGTGTATGCAAAACATTGCCAAAATGCAATTGAATCAATGCAAACAAAATGCATGTCACATCCCAATCAATTTGGATCAAACCTCTCTTTTCTTTGGACTTTTACATACATATTTTTTAGATTTTCTTTTTTCTTTTTTTCCCCTCATTTAGCGGATGAAAGATTATGTTGTCATTTTTTTTTTTTTTTTTTTTTTCAGTTTGGGTTCTGATTTCTTGATTGAATCTGAGATATCTTAGGAGAAATATCCTAATTAGGTTGGTATGGAGTGGTCATGTTCACAATTCTAGAAAGGACCAAAACCACTAATTAATATTATGGTCATTTAAGGTACCAAGCTTTTTATTTTTTATTTATTTATTTCCTTTTTTTTTTATCTTTTTATGCAAAATGAATATGAACCAACCACTTGTTATGGTCACTGGACCATGTGGGTGACTCTGAGCAAGAGGCAACAGTGCAAAGACCTCAAAATAATCAACAATTTAGAAGTCATGAAAAATATACAAAAAGTAATATTTAATGTATTGTGGGGTTTCTATAATCTTAGTCAATATCAAAGAATAGTATCAATATTGTCTGCATATTAGCTGCTTTTAGTAAATCCAAGAATAGCAGTAATATTGTCTGGATATTAGCTGCCTGAAAGCAACATTAGCTCTTTATAGTATGTCAAATTCTGTCAACAGATTCAAGTAAATTTTGAGATTTTTTTAAACTGAATTAAGGGGTAATTTGTCTTTTGCAGCCTAACATAGCCTAAAAAAATACACAACTACGGCTCCAACATTAGTATAAATTATCTTGTCCAGGTCATGTCGCTTATTTGTGATCCTGATCTAATGAATTGGAGCACAACTACACGAACGAAAAAAATAAAAAATAAAAAATAAAAAAAGCTTTATACAAAAAGGGGACCTATCAATAATACATTTTTCTGAACTATAAATTTAATCAAAATTATATCGAAGTGAATTACTATACAAAATTAATAAAATTGAATACATATTTAATGGGTTAAAACAGAGTTCTAACAATAAAGTATTTTTATTTTATTTTTTTGTACCAATCTTATAATTCAAAAAAATAAAATAAAAAAAAATCATTTATCTTTTTATCTTTTTTTTTTTTTTTTTTTTTCCAAGTACTGACTTTGTCAAAACATGAATAGGAAAAAAATCTTTATAAATTGCATATATGTCTCTTTACTTCACAATGGGGATTCCATTACTAATTAAGTTATATATTTCTTAATGGAAGGTTGGGTTGACTTGATCATTGAATTATAGGGAATGTTGTTCATGTTCTCCATTTCTATATAAATGACAAAGACCATCTTGACCATCTGATTAAAATGGAAACTGTTCTACTTCAGATTTTCTTTGAAATGGCCCAATGTTTGGAAAAGCTGGACTCCCCATTTTGGTTGATGCCAAACCATGATATATGCTATCTTATTTTCTAAAGTTATAAATAAATAAATGATGGGTTACACATTGATTACAAGATGCTTTTAAAGTATTTCAAATCTTTGAAGATTTCTGGTAGGATTGCAATTGTGACTTATCAGTCCCAATCCCAAACAAGATAATATAATCTAAAGTAATAGAAATTCAAAGTCTAACCAATTTATACATACCTACACTTTGAATTTTGCTTTCCATTCACTCTCACTCTTCAAGGAAAAAAAAAAATAGTCATCGACACATATGGTCCTTAAACTATTTAGTAAGTAACAGTTTAGTTCATATTATTTTAATCTTAGTAAAACACCTCTTAAATTCTTTAAATATTGGCAATTTTAACCTTTCCATTCAAATCCGTCAAATATTTAACAGACTAAACCATGTACAGTGCATGTGATTTCATATAGAAGGGTATTTTTGTAATAACATAATCTTAAATTTAATAAGAGATAAAAACTTGAAATAAAAAGAAAATTATTGATTTAGAAAAAAAAAAAAAAAACTTAT